CACATCATTCAACCACATATAGGTCACAATTGAACCTTCATTTGCTTTACCTTTAAATTTAGAAGCTTTCAGCTCTTTAATTTTTTTTGGAATTGGCACTCTTGGAGCTGGAGGAGCAGAAGGTGGAGGCGGAGGAAGGGGATGTGTTGCGGCTAGCTGATATCTTGCTAATATAGCCTCAAGAGCTTGCAAGAAAGTCCCCTAATCAAGAGCTGACATTTCCTGTTGTGCCTGTGCTCCATGCTACTGAGGTTTATGTTCAACCTCATTACTACTTCCACTATTGATTCCTTCAAGAACCTCCTATTCGGTAACTCTTCTAGAGCCCTCCGCATTCGACATCTAACCACAAACACATAACATCACATTAGTAAGGAGAAAAATCCTAAATAAAATCATCAGACCATACCAGATCAGCAATTTCAACATCCTACTGGCATGTACATATTTATGATATAAAATATGCTCGGTTTAGACTAACAACCAGGTAAACATGCAACTTTGATACCAATAAATGTAATACCCTTAACTCATATGTGTCTCGATATACGAGTTAAAGATGTCACACCAACTCATAAAACATTTACTTAACTGAAATTTGCCTAAAAAATTGTTTTATTTTAAAACGTTTCTATCTTAACTTTAAAAAAACTATTTTAAAGATATCTCAACTTATAAATAAATTCTTGTCGTAGAAAAATAAATTCATTTGTTAATAATTGATTTTACCAATTCATGTCTTTTCGTGAAATCTTTTTAAAACATGATAATATAATATGCTCTTTTCATACATAAATATTGATAAAACTAAACCAAGTAAAATAAACTAAAATAGTTATAGTTTACTATGACATACTATTTAAAATAAATACGAAAAATAGAAACTACTGACATAATTATAAATGTCACTAAAAGTCAAAAGTAACATCATAGATGTCTTAATGATACTGATGATAGGTATGTCTTTCCAAAAAGATGCCCTGGTGACTCCTTATTGTTCGTACTTATCCATATTAGAACCTACATATGAAAATCATCACGCGCTAAGTATAACTTAGTAAGGTAGTAGTAATCTAAAATGAGAAAAATCTGAAAATATCATAAACATAAATAAAATAATTCGAATTCAAACATTAAATTGTCAAGCCAACTTATCCAAGTGGATTTCTTCACTTAGACCTATAATTTCTTTTAAGTCATGAAATCATGAATATTCTGAAAAACAATATCTAATAAAATAAGCATATCATGCTTTCAGTCAACTGGATATCATTCAAACTTTCATCTTCATTTTCATAGCCCAATGTAAATTTATGAGAACATAAGATACATGAGTAAGGTGCACACTATGCACAACACAGTGCAAATCATAATTGATATTGAGATATGATGCACTCCAGTGCAATCATAACTTGAACACCAACGGTGCTAGACATTGGTACATGAATGTACCAAAGCTGATATGATAACTGTTAACATTGGTACACGAATGTACCAAATATGATAATTGATAAGTACTCAATTAATGGCATGTCAAGTGTACCAACAATTCCCATTATACATACAATGGACTCATGTATCATAAATAAATTCATCATCAACAATATATTGGACAGTTCATACCCTAAATCATTCATAAAACTGATATAAAATATTATAAAAATATTCTTTATAAACTTTATAAACATGTTGTAAATTGAAATGAGGTTGACTTATCACAAGTCATCATCGATCAAAATAATTAAATAAATAATTGCACTCACTTTTGTCTCACTATAGTACCCTTTACACGATATTTCTAATCACGTGTTTTTTCTTTTCATTTCGAATCTTCCAGATTGTTAGATTTATCGTGCTCTGACAATACCAAATAATAACACAAAGTGTTTAAAATACATATTAGTATCGAACTAACATAAGTTGATTTAAACATTCAAATATTTATAAAATAAAAATCGGGAGTAAAATGATATTAAACTAAATCATATCTCCATTATAATTTGCAAGTTATTAATGGTAGATGTATTATAAATGGTATTATTTGCAAGGTCCCAAAACCTTGGGGACTTATTTGGGAGTAAAATGATATTAAACTAAATCATATTTTCAAGGTTTTGGGACCTTTCGAAATCCATCTCAAATCGGGAGTAAAATGATATTAAACTAAATCATATCTCCATTATAAAATAAGTCCCCAAGGTTTTGGGACCTTTCGAAATCCATGCAATTTGGTTCCAAACAACTTTCCAACTTAATTTCCAGCATTAAAAATATCAAAAATGAACATTGAATCCCTCAAATATTACATTCTTACGATAATATCCCATAATTCCAAGAACTTGTAATCTAGCCCTTTTACACTTTCAAGGTTCCAAATTGATCCAAACCAATCTCCAAATCACATGGAATACTTCTAATATCATTTATAATCCATAGGAATTTTTTTTAACATTTTTTTCAATTTTCTTCCCTATGGTCGAATACTTTTATCTCACCTACGAGGAACTTTTTATTCAATTTCAAGCATGAATTCAACCCCTATGATTAAATTCATGTATTTCCAATCATCACAACATCAAATTGAATCAAAATCCAATGATTATTCGTAAACCCTAACATGGCCAAATCTTATATACACATGTATAATTAATTCTAATCATTATACATGCTTTAGAAATAATCACTAACATCAAAAACAAAAAAAAACCTTCATCAACTCTTTAAAATCACTAAACTCTTCATAACCCTAATAATCAAATCTCATCACACAATCATCTTCACCATGAAATTTTGGTACCAAATGATAGAGAATATCATGTAGATTAATTCTCTATCTAATAGCTTAATCCAAAAACTAATCATATAACATGAAAAATGAAAATGAAAATCTTACCAATTTTTGCTTGAGAGGTTCGGACTTGGTGAAGAAAGAATATGAAAATGGCTTAATTTTCATAATTATTCTAGTATTTAAAAGATAAAACACATGGCATTTTCTAATTAATTGAATTTAATATTCAATTGATGAAAGATCTCAAAAATACCCTTAATAAATCTTGCAAATTACCAAATGTCATTGTATTATCTTCCATTAAAATATTCCTTGGTCAAATATGAATCAACTTGGCTTTTAATTTTCACTTTGGCCATGCAATTTTCGAAAATTACATTTTAGTCACTAAAATTCCAATGTTTCGGTCAAATCTGAAAAATTGCACTGTTCTGAGCCAAATTTTTCTGATATAAAATATGAAAATAATATTTTGAACTATTTTCTAACATCCTTCAAATTTTCATAAAATTTCGGTTCGATCCGAATATCCGATTTCAATACCGAACTTTACCACTTTATAGCTTTTAACACAAATCTAGTACAAAAAATTGATTCTCACTAAAATCTCTATTTTAATCCAAACTGTTCATTTGCATGCTAAAATATATAATTTTTTAAAAATTATAGTTTCAGTCCCTAAACTTTTCAAAGTTTATACTTTAGCCACTAAACTTTCAAAACTTACATTTTAGTCACTAGACAAAATTTGGGGTATTACAGCTCCGTAAAATGCTTGAAGATGGGCTCGAGGATCTTCCATGAATGAACCACTATATTACCCCATGGATTGTAACATTTGAAACATCACTGGTTTCAGCTCAAAATTGATAGCGTGAATGGTTGCTCGCACGATGCAGGATGTAAATCATCTAACGTTGCCACAACATGCTCTCAAATAGGTCGATTGCGATCATTCATGTTATAATATTGCTGATGCTCAACTCCATTGCCAGCTGGGAATTCTTCATTATTAGCATGTGGTAATGGTGGTAAAGCATTATTACCTCTATCTCGTACAACCATGTTTGATCGATGTAAACTTTAATCAAATCAAACCATTATTTGTCGATGAAAACTTTAGTCAAATCAAATAGATTTTCTTCGAACATATTTTGTATCCAATGATAACAAACATCAATGTGTTTTGTGTGAGAATCATAGATTAAATTCTTAGCTTAATGAATGACACTTTGACTATCAAAGTAGTTCTCCTTCTTGTGGCCCAATTCTAACATAAAATTCTTTATTCTTAATCATTCTTTACAAGCTTTAGTTGCAGCAATGTACTCGACTTTAGTTATCGATGATGCCACACATTTGTAGATTAACTGTCAAGAAACAGCTCCCCTCGAAAAAGTAGCCACATACTTGACGTTGATTTTCTTGAGTCAACATCTCCAACTATATTTGCATTTGGGTATGCTCTCACTTCCTACTTCCCTTTTCCAAAGCATAAACATTTCTTTGATGTCCAGCGTAAAAAAAAAAAATCATTTTACAATTTTCCAATAAGCTTCGTCGAGATTGGATAGAAATCGACTTACACCACTACTGCGGTATGAGCAATGTCAGGCCTACTACAAGTGGTGCCTATAAAATCTTCTTCATTTATTCTTGAAAGGCTTAAAACCATTCTACGCCATCCTTAAATGCATCGTCATTGATGAAAAATTTGGGCTCTTATAACCTGTTACTATCTTCGTTGCTGCTTGACTCACTCGGACAGTGACGTATACAATGCATTTCTATTTTATAATGATGGATCGTAATTTCCAGTGATATGGCTCTTGAATTCTTACAACTCAAGGTGTGGTGGAAAACCATAGATTTCTTCATGGCTTCAACAATTTCATTCCTAGCCTCTTTTCATAATGAACATGAAGTTTGATACGTAATACTACAAATATACATGAGCTAAGATCCATTTACAGTCAAACAGATCCTATCCCTCTCTATATATCCTCTCCCTGTTTAGCGATAAAGAAAAATCCTATGTTTGTAGCTGTTTAACTGATCCATCGGCATCCCAGCTTTTGACTCAGGTTGACTTTAAAAAGCAACTAACACGCGGAAAATTACCTGCTTCCACAAACTCCATTAGCAGAAAACTCAAACATCAGAGTGTGGGTGGAATGCCTTCACTATGACTCGGTTATAAAACACAAATTTCTCAGACAGTCTGAATAAACAAACTCTGGTCCACTCTAGTGGTCATCTTCATTGGTTCCAGGGCAGCTCGAGAAAAGTGCTTCCATCGATTCATACTGAAAAATGGAAGTTCAAATCATAAAACAATCAGGAATTCGGGATTTCGGAATATGATTTAGCTTAAAATTGTAGTTCGAAACATAAACAACCAAATGCAAAGCTTTAAATCAGTAAAAATGTTGAGGAAATCCAACTTACTTGAAATCCACAGAATGGGCAGTACTGATATTCCTCTCTCAGTTTCATCAATATATCTTGTAAATTCTACAAATTAAATTCTCACCCAGTTAAATAACAAGAAAGAAGACCATAAATTTCACGATCAAAAACATCTAAGGCTCTTCCCCGTAGCTCAAACAGAGAGACAGAAGTCGTAGCTCAATCAGAACCAGAATCTTCCTTCTGTAACAACCCAGACCCAATGCAGATAATAACAGAACGACATGTGTCAGAATTTATGGATGCATATAATTGCAGAATGGCATGCGACAAAATTTACGGATTTAAATAATAATAGAATGACATGCGACAGAATTTAAGGATACAGAATAAATGATCTGATCATAGCAGAGTGAGTATAAAATCAGAGGCATGCGGAATTCAGTATTTCCATCAGAAGTAACAGGCATGCATTACAGTGATTTTTAACAGAATCAGAGAACACGCTGATACAGGCAACAACAAGAGATCTGATGGCATCAGTCAACAATAGAGTAACTCAAGGCATGACTAAAACGGGCACGTGAGCCTATGTCGAGTGCGCATATTCTAATGTTGCAAGCTGATACCACTAACGCAGTTACTTTTCAGACCTAATCGTAGGATCGGTTTCGCAATCAGATTCTATCCTCTAGGACCTCTACATGTCATATCATAGTGGTCTAGGTCTAAAATGTAGTTTGGCCATTTGTGTCTAGGTCGAATATGATTATGAGGCATTATTAGACATGTATATTTGTGATGCATCTGTGTTTGAATTCATCAACAATGTTTAAACTACTAAAAAATCTTTCATGCTTAAAAGACAGCCGTAAATGCCAACCTAGTTTGCATGTTAGCTAGCATAAAGCAGTCAAACAATTTAGCCAACATAAAATCATCACCTAGATGCTCAATCTTAATTATTCCTCAATCAGAATGTTCTGAACTCTGTTATTCACAATACACTTCAGTTGAAGCACTCGTGCTGATAGAAACATGAAACCAGGACAGCTGGAAAACCTACTAAAACTAGATAAATGCAACACAAGGAAATGAGACAAATCTAATCCAATACATAACTGTATGTAACATAGGCATTAATAAAATATGTAAAGTTGGCCTAAAATAAGTTGGTACAGCAGTATACTCTGTGTATATATACATATATGCAAGTTCACATACCTCTCCTGTTACTACTTCTTCCTCTTCCTCTTCCTCTTGATCCCCCTCTTCTTCATCATTCTTCTTTGGCACAACAATTTCTTTATTCTCAAGTTGATCAAGGGCAGCCTTTGCCTTCTTGTAATTTACAACAACTCTCCGACTGCGCCACTGTGACTTTTGCCAGGAACCAAATTCTTCCATCAAAGCCTCCTCATTCTTCCTTTTTCTCTCAAACTCAATCTCCTCTCTTTTTCTTTTCTCCTTAAGTGGGTCATCCCGTCCAATCCCTGCTCGAGACCTCCGAATGTCAAGCCCCACTGGTTCAGCTCGACCTGACGCCTCCTTTCCAAGTGCTGAGCCTGGGGTGTAACCCATTTGCTTTAACAACTTGAAGTCAATGTTAGATTGAGGAATTGGAGCATCTATTTTTGCTAAGGTTTGCTCGTCCTCATCTAGCTGCTTTCTCTCTCTTTCAAGTTTACGTTGTTCTTGCCAGATCAACTTTTTCGACTTTTTCTTGAATGGTTGGGAGCTCAAAGGATTGTTGTTAGGAATCTGAAGAGAATTACTAAAAATATAATAACCTAATAGACTATACCAGTTTCCAAAAACGTAGCAATGAAAGAGCGGTATTTCAAATTTCATTTCATAACAATATATAAGATTTTATTAACAAAACACAGTTTCAAACAATTTTATCTCTGCATTTCTCCGAAGTTTGTTCCCTTCATGATTCTTGGTATTACTCTGTTTGGTTTCCATGAAACATAGGAAAATTCAAGAAACATGGTTAAACTTTCCACCAAAACCGAAATCTTATCACTGTCGTAACCGATTTTCGTCCGGCACAAATTTTTCTTGACGGGAAAAGTATGTAAATGAATAAATGGTTTTTTAAGGAAATGTTTTGGAGTCGTCATCAACCTTTTGGTTAGGTAGGTCGAATACTTAAAAATCATATTTTAAAAGAATTTTTAAGAAAATAGCAGTTAAAAGATAAATTGGTCTGCGAATAACTAAAAATTCATTCTTTTTAGTAATAAAGAGGGATTCGTGGTCGGTTACGTTTGGAGAAGGATTAGCACCCCCATAACGCCCAAAATTGATACCTTCAATTATAAATTGTCTCTAGTATTGGAAATGTTTTGGAGTCGTCATCAACCTTTTGGGTTAGGTAGGTCGAATACGTAAAAATCATCTTTTAAAAGAGTTTTTAAGAAAATAGCAGTTAAAAGATAAATTGGTCTGCGAATAACCAAAAATTCATTCTTTTTAGTAATAAAAAGGGATTCGTGGTCGGTTACGTTTGGGAAGGATTAGCACCCCCATAACGCCTAAAATGGTTATTCCTTCTCATTTATTCATTTTTCTATTCTCTCTCTAAGGAGAGAGAAGCTCTCCCTTCTCTCTAAACTCCCTCATCGGAGGGAGAGCCGGCCACCGTCGATCACTATTCACGGTGGTCAAAAAATATAAAAATACACCAAATCGAAGGTCAAGATCTCCTAAACCCAAATCCGGCTTTCTTTCTTCCTAAAAAGCCTTAGTATTTCCTAGATTTAGGTTTATACCTTTGTATTTTGGGTGCTCCAACGATGTTCGGAATCTCCTCAGTGGTAAGTTGCTTATTTCCTTTGTTTTTTCTTTTGATTTGTTGTTGACTGCTATTTGGGTAGCTCGGTTTTTGCTTGCTCTCGGTGGCAGTTGGTATCGTATTTGGGTTCTTCTATTTTTTTTCTTGTAGGGGATCGATGGCTTTTATAAGCCATCATGGTTTTTCTCTTGGACCGGTCAAAAGAATGGCTTTTGGTGAGTCACCGAACTATGGTGGTGACTCACCCTAGAGCTGCAACGTGGAGGGGCAGCTCGCTTCTGGTGTCTTCTAGCGAGGCATTGGCGTGGCAGTAGGGGGTCGGCAGCAGCTGGTTGGAACACATGGCAGTGGAGCAGCGGTTGTTCATCAACGATATGAGGCAGTGGTATTGGAGATAGGGTTTAGAAACTCTAACAGAAACCCTAAATGGGTTTTAGGTCTTCTCAGGTCTGGACCAGGTCTGGACCTCTCATCTGGGCCTGGACCGAGTATAAATCTGTTGTCTGGGCTTCTCTTTGGGTTTAGGCCTCGGGTTGTAATTGGGCTCCGAGATTAATATATTCGGGCCTATAATAATATATTTTATTAATAATAATAATAATTTAATAATAATAATAATAATAAATATTTATAATAATAATAAATATTTATAATAATAAAAAATGATAAATAAAAAATAAAAAATGGGATGAAACTTAGTGTCTACAGTTGCCCCTCTTTGCTCATTCTTGTGTTAATAAGAATGGGGCAAAGATGAAAAGACAATAAGTTTTTGTCTAGTTAACTTTTCTTTATTAAGACGGAGTTGTTGAACCCTCAAGTGATAGATTCAAATCTTTGCTGAAATCCATATTTTCAAAGCTTTGAAAAGTATAGTAATTCTTTGCTGAAATCTTTGCTAATCTCTGGAATTCCTGTCAAATATTCAATATCTGGATAAAAATGTGAAATGAATGCAAAGAAGTTTGTTCGAAGAGGAACTATCTCTGGTGTGATAAAATTTGTTTTGAGAGACGTTGTTTATTCGAAATATCGTGAATCAAGCTTAGTTTCTTGGTTATCAAGGAACCCCTTAAAAGGTTTAGCTTCCTTTAACAACTCTTTCGAGATAATTAAGAAACCCCTAAAATAGGCTTAGTTTTTAAAATCTCATTTGAAAACATCTTGTACTGAAGGTCTTACGGATGGCCCGAAGGCTTTAACATCTTGCTTAAAAGGCTTACATATGACCCGGGGGGTTTAAACATCATGCTCGAAAGACTTACTGATGGCCCGAAGGACTTAAAAATCAAGAACCCTCGAAAGCTTAGTTTCTTAGTTGTCAAAGAACCCCTTTGTTAGGCTTAGCTTCCTTTAATAACTCTTTTGAGATAGTTAAGAAACCCCTAAAACAGGCTTAGTTTTTAAAATCTCATTTGAAAACATCCTGCACTGAAGGTCTTATGGATGACCCAGAGGCTTTAACATCTTGCTCGAAAGGCTTACAGATGATCCGGAGGATTTAAACATCATGCTCGAAAGACTTACTGATGGCCCGAAGGACTTACAAATTAAGAAACCCTCGAAAGCTTTGTTTCTTAGTTGTCAAGGAACCCCTTTGTTAGGCTTATCTTCCTTTAACAACTCTTTTGAGATAATTAAGAAACCCCTAAAATAAGCTTAGTTTTTAAAACTTCATTTGAAAACATCATGCACTAAAGGTCTTATGGATGACCCGAAGGCTTTAACATCATGCTTGAAAGACTTACAGATGGCTCGAAGGACATACAAATTAAGAAACCCTCGAAAGCTTAGTTTCTTAGTTGTCAAATAACCCCTTTGTTAGGCTTAGCTTCCTTTAACAACTCTTTTGAGATAATTAAGAAAACCCTAAAACATACTTAGTTTTTTAAAATCTCATTTGAAAACATCCTGCACTGAAGTCTTATGGATGGCCCAGAGGACTTATAAATTTGACAAAAACCTTGTGTTTGAATGCAATAAAATGTATCAATGTAATGCATATTCTTTTATGCAAATGATGTTCTTATGAGTGCAAAAATGTTGATGTAATCTTCATTTGACTTCAAAGTGGTGAACTCGGTCTTCTTTCACTTAGTCAAAATATCATTTCAAGCTGGAATTCATTCTCTTTTTTAAAAGAGCAATCTTTGTGTTTTCTTTTCTTCATTTGCATGAAAGTCTCAGAAAAAATGTTTCATTCATGGAACTCTTGCTGCAGTCAGAATTATGACCTTGATGCCCCCATTTTTATCTTTGATAACACCGTCTTTCTTTGCTTAGGCTTGTGTAAAAATCCAATAAAGCTTTCATCTTTGAAAGGAGTATCTATCATCTTTGAAGAATGTAGATTTAGATATGCAAAACTCATCAGAGATTAATTAGGAGAACAACATCTGTTCTAATTTGACTCTTGAAACACATTACAAGGAGGTTTTATCCTATTTCATTTCATGTCTCCACATCTAATTGGATATTGAACAAAGCCATTCATACCATATCATGTCGAGATGTTTAACAACAACCTGTTGTTTAACCTTAGTTGGCTCCACTAGTTTCTTGTTGTTAAAATTTCAGCTTCCCTTCTCATGGAAAGAAATCTTCATTATATCTCACTTCTAACCTTGGGGTTGAAGAAGATAAACTTCATCTTGGGTCCACATATGGAAACACCATATGATCGCAATATTGGTTCAGCATTATAATTACTAGTTTGTAAAACATTTGACAACACATTCATCTTTTCTTGTAGCTTCTGCCCAAATTTCTCAATCAGTGAAGCTCTTTGCATAGTGTTTGGAGATTTTGTAGGACGTCACAAGGACACTTAAAAACAAAGCTCAGTGGGAATACAAGTGGGATGCTTTAACTGCCAGCATCAAATCACCAGAATAATGCAACTTTGTGTCTCATTGGAAATATTTTCTCCATTCAATGATCTTTCCATAAGAGGATATATGCCTTCAGTGTGCCCCAACATTTGTTGATACGAACGTTCAAAATGCATTCAACATTACTTCTTGTTGATGTGAGTCCTCAAAATGCCCCACATGGATCATTTCTAGTTGAAATTGGCTTTCAGCATGCCCCTTCCTTCTTGATGAGTTGCTGATAATGTCTCAAGAGAGTATTACAAGTTCAAGTCTCCAGACTATCTAGCTTCTTGGACCACTTGCTTTCAAGAATGTGAAATGCTTCATCATTTTAGCATCGTTTATTCTTTTTCTACAATAGAGGTAGAATATGCAACAACTTGCTTCAAGGACCTTCCTCATTTGAGATTGTTCTATTTGAAAATGTTTTCCTCCTTTATTTATCGATGAATGAAAGAATTTTGTAAAATATTGCTTATTACAGGTTCACAATAGAATCAAATCATAAGCATGAGTTCAAAGAATATTAAAAGAATGAACAACTCTTTGATGTTTGAGAATTATAGCTCTTTGACAAGTATCAAAATTTAGTTTGGTTTCAGGATGGCTTTCCTATTTTCTATGGTTACATCTATTTAAGATGTCACTCCTCTCTCACTCTTTGTGAACGTTGCCACATGCCTCACTTTAAGGACTTGGTATTTTAACCGGATGCGGACAAAATGAACTAGCATAGCCAATTACTAGACTTTATAGAATACTTCTATTTTAGTTCTCTAGAATCTTTCATTTATACTTATCTAACCAAAGCAGTGCGAAAATATCGGTCTAAAAATGAAATTTCTGAGTGCTTGTGTGAAATTGACTATAACCGGTGTTTCTTAACTCCCTTAATCCATCTTTATGTAGTAACTTTTTGCCTTTTTCCCTTTCTTTTTCTCTTTCTTTTTCTTTTTCTCTTTCTTATTCTTTTTTTTCTTTTTGCTATTTGAAACATATATATACAGCCAGGGTGATTAACCAATTGCTCTAGAGGGATAGCTCAATCTTTATTGCATATAATAGTATAATAGGCTAGCTGAATATTATCCATAAAGTCGGGGTGATTAACCAATTGCTTTAGGGGGATAACTCAAGTTTTATTGTATATAATAATATAATATGAATATACAACTCCA